ATTACTCAAGTGTGAGTCGGAGTTCCACAACTTGAAATAGAGGGACATAATAAGGCGGGAAACATGATAACTAATGTCTAGATCATAATCATTATTTTGGGTGGTATATTTGATCCAAAATCATAGATAAAACCAATAGGCAATAATAGTCCATTTTGATCAAAGTACCAAGGACTTGAAGACAGTCTAATCCTCAATTCAAACGCCATATTTGCACCATGTCCATTAAAGTGTCTGTCGATAATAATAAATCTGCAAACTATGCTATTGTTTCTTGTTGCTTTTCCACAATGACATTCATTAGGGGATTTTTAGCATATTCATAAAGTAATTTATTAAAGTTTGACCTAACTCATTCTTAGAAAATTAAAAACTGAATTATAAGGTAATAGACTATATATATAAACAGTTGCAATGTTGTGTTTAATCATAGATGATGAACAAATAAAAATAAAAGCAAAGGAAAGTGTGTGTGGGGAAGGATTGGTCCTGTACTGTCTTAGCATGTCCCCTCCACCCAACACACATACACTATTTCTCACTCTATCTCTAAGACTCTAACAGTTTAATTCTATAAGTCACTACCACATTGCCTTTTCTTTCCTTTTGTTTCTGTGCTTCCTATGCAATTGTCTCTGTCTTCTGCTCCCTCTTCTGTCTACCTTCAAATGGAGATAATGGAATCATACTTTGAATTTCTTGTTATCATTTGATAAATAAATACTCTTTCTCTCTTTAACCCTTGTTTCCAACATCAATTTCTTTTCATCATTAAAAATAACCTCATTTCCACTTTTCTCAATTTCACTTTTGCTGCCACCCTCTTTACTGTCTTTAAATAAACTTGTGATTTTTATCTCTTTCCATTTGAGTCTCTTAAGAAACAAACTAAGTGTTCATGGAAATTGATCTGAACCATCAAGTGACTGAAATTGACAAGAATTATGCATTATGCATTAAGGAATGTGAAAAAGGTTGCAGTTCTTGTGTTTGTTGTTTGTCCCCTTCCACTTGTTCATCTTCTAGCTCAACTTCACCACTTGCTTCTTCTTCTTATCTTGACCTTTGGCATGCTTGTGCTGGACCTCTAATTTCTCTTCCTAAGAAAGGAAATCTTGTGGTTTATTTTCCACAAGGTCACTTGGAACAATTTGCTTCTTTCTCTCCTTTTAAACAATTGGAGATACCAACCTATGATCTTCAACCACAGATCTTTTGCAGGCTTGTCAATATACAGCTACTTGTGAGTACTCAATTTTACTTAATTCATCTAACATTCTCTGTGCTACTCTTTTAGTTTTGCTTAAATTGTTGTTTTCTCTAACAGGCCAACAAGGAGAATGATGAGGTTTATACACAAGTTACTTTGCTTCCTCAGGCTGAGGTTTGTTTTTATCCAAGTTCTTTATGTTTGGTGTGTGTTTCCAAACTGAGACTTATTTTAACTTATCTATTGGTTTTCGGCTTAATTTTAAAAGCACTTCATGATAGCTTTTGAAAACAGCTTATATCGTATATGAAAATAGTCTAGTTTTATTTTATATTTTATCATAAAAAATTGAAAATAGCTTATATATAAGCACTTATGTGATGAACGCTTATATTATAAGAGCTTAATTAAGTTGCTCATCCAAATAGAGAGTTTGGTTAGATGGATTGCTTTGGCTTTTTAGTTGGCAGGTATGCATATGGAGGGAAGAGAAGTTGAGGAATTAGAAGGAGAGGAAGAGGGAGATGGAGGGTCGCCTACGAAATCAACTCCTCACATGTTCTGCAAGACACTAACAGTTTCTGATACCAGCACTCATGGTGGCTTCTCTGTGCCTCGTAGAGCTGCTGAAGACTGTTTTCCTCCTTTGGTATGAAATCGTTTAACGATGATCTCTTTGAAGTTTTATTAGTCTCCTTTTCCGTGAGTCGTTGAAGTTTGATTCCTACTGTTTGGATTGAATTATTTGAGTTTATCTACTGACATAAGCATTTTCTGAGACTGTTTGAGAGTTTGTAGAAACAGTTTATTACACGTCAATAAGCTATTTTCAGCATATTTTCATATGCTCTTCAGAATAGCTTATGACAACAGTTTGATTTTATCGTATCTTTTGTTACAGAAACTACTTGTGGCATATCTGTAAATTGTTTTCAGCTTATTTTCATAAGCTCTTTAGGATAGTTTATGAAAACAGCTTATAGTTTATATGAAAACAATTTGACTTTATTGTATCTTTTGTTATAAAAATAGTTTATACATAAATACTTGTATGCTACACGCTTATGGATTACATTTTACTATATATAGGATTATAAGCTGCAGAGACCTTCTCAAGAGCTTGTTGCTAAAGACTTGCATGGTGTGGAGTGGAAATTTCGTCATATTTATAGAGGTAATGTAATTTTATTAGAAAAAGAAAAACGTGTTGTTTCATAAAATGACTAATTGATACAAAAAATAATGTGGCAATTTGTCAGGTCAGCCGAGGCGGCATCTACTCACTACTGGCTGGAGCATTTTTGTGAACCAAAAGAATCTTGTTTCTGGTGATGCTGTGCTCTTTCTAAGGTATATATATATTCTATCCCTGCGGTGAACTTCAACTATGTTATTGATGCGAAGTATCTACCGGTCTCGCAATGACTAATTTCTATCAAGAAACCGACCATTTCTAGTGTCTTTCAAATCATTTCTGCTTATGAATGTCTTTCTAGGGGTGAAAATGGAGAGCTGAGATTGGGAATCAGAAGAGCTGTTAGACCTAGAAATGGTCTTCCTGAATCAGTTATTGGTAACAAGAACTGTTATCCTAATTTCCTTTCTTCTGTGGCAAATGCTATTTCCACCAAAAGCATGTTTCATGTTTTCTATAGTCCAAGGTACTAGTACTAAATAATCACTTCTTTTTACTTTGCAAGATGCATGAAGTTTACACTGCAATTACTTATCCTATAATTTTGATTTTTTTGTGGAAATATAAATCAATACAGAGCAAGTCATGCCGAATTTGTTGTTCCTTACCAAAAATATGTTAAAAGCATCAAGAATCCAGTGACCATAGGGACAAGATTCAAAATGAGATTTGAAATGGACGAATCGCCCGAAAGAAGGTAATGTACGGTATAATTAGTATAACTTTTTACTGTGATTTCTTCGTTCAGAAAAATATATTGACATTGTTTTATCTTCGTATCTTGAAGGTGTAGTAGTGGTATGTTGATTGGAATGAATGATTTGGATCCCTATAGATGGCCTAAATCCAAATGGAGGTGCTTGATGGTACATTTGAAATTTTGCTTTACATTTATACGTCTTTTAGCGTAAATAGGATTAAAGTCGAATGTTTTTAATGATCAACCAGTTATAATATGTAAGCTTTTTATGGCATCGAACAGGTCCGATGGGATGAGGATATGGATACTAATCATCAAGACCGAATATCTCCATGGGAGATCGATCCTTCGACTCCTCTGCCTCCTCTAAGCATTCAGTCTTCTCCAAGATTGAAGAAACCGCGGACCAGTCTGCAGGTTGCCTCACCCAGTCACCTTACCACAGGTACGAATCCTAATGGCGATATGAAATCCTTAATGATGCGTAACTTAATGTATTAGGGTCATGGCTGGCATTAAGGCAATTTCTAGACACGGTTTCGATCCTAATCATATTCTTTCTTTGTTTCATTTCTGGTAGCAAGAAGCAGTGGAATGATGGGCTTTGAGGAGTCGGTAAGATCACCAAAGGTCTTGCAAGGTCAAGAAAATTCAGGTTTTATGTCACGATACTACGGATGTGACAAAGGAACCAACCAGCCAGGTTTTGATTTGAGCTCTTCAAGTCATCGTCAAAATCTTGCATCAACTGGAATAGGAAAAGTAGTTACCTCTTCTGAGCTTATGAGTGTTCACCCTTTCGGTTACGCAGGCTTTATGGAAAGTAACAACTTTCCAAGGGTCTTGCAAGGTCAAGAAATATGTAAACTCAAATCCCTAACAGGAAAAGTCGATTTCAACGTCGGTGCTTGGGGAAAATCCATTGCAAGTTGCACAAATTTCAACCTTCATCAAGGAACCAAACACAACTTTCAATCTGCATATTTTCCTTATGGAGATATTCACAATGCTGATCAAGCTAACATCTTTAGCTCAAAACAGAATGTGGGGTTTAACGCGCCGCCGATAATTGCAGGGAACATTAGAAATGAAGTTGGAAGATCTGAATCTAATCTCCCAATTGAGCATAAGCTGCAGGACAATATTTCTGTTTCTGCTTCAATAGGGACTGCTGATATGAAGGTTCCGAATGATAACAATGTCAACGGAAAGGTAAACTCGTGCAAACTATTCGGGTTTCCTTTGTCTGCGGAAACGAGTTCTCAAAATTTACAGAGCGCTGCAAAAAGGAGCTGCACAAAGGTGAGAGATGATGATAACAACAACAGAAAGATATTATGATATGCTGATTCTTTTTTAATGTTTGATGTTTTAAAAACCTATGTAACATACACTAAATGAAGGTTCACAAGCAAGGAAGTTTAGTTGGAAGAGCCATTGATCTCTCGAGGTTGAGCGGCTACATTGATCTTCTGAGTGAACTAGAGAAACTATTTGGAATGGATGGCCTTCTTAGAGACTCTGATAAGGGATGGAGGATCCTCTACACTGACAGTGAGAATGACATAATGGTTGTGGGGGATGATCCATGGCAGTAAGTATTCTTCTTCCTCATGGATGCTGCTTTTGAGTTTTGTAGAGCCTCTATGGTTTGTATTATTTGAGTTTATCTGCTGGCATAAACACCAGTGAAACTATTTGAGAGAGCTCGTGAAAACAAGACATGTCCATAATTTATTTTCAACTTATTTCCACAAACTCTCCAGATAGCTTATAGAAATAGCTTATAACTTATATTAAAATACTATGACTTTATTTTATCTTTTGATATAAAAATGGTTTATGCATAAGAACTTATATGATAAGCCTTTTTGTTATAAGCTATGAAACACGGACACAAACACATACATAAGTGTTTATGTTATAAGCTATAAAGCACTGACACAGACACATACACAAGCATTTATGTTATAGACTATGAAGCACTGACACAGACACATACGCAGACAAGACACTAACACAACAACACCAGAAATGAACTTGTTTTATTCTATTAAAGCTTTTTTTTGCTTTGGCTGCAGTGAGTTTTGTGATGTGGTATCCAAAATCCATATATATACCAAAGAAGAAGTGGAGAAGATGACATTTGGGATGAACAATGATGATACTCATAGCTGTTTGGAACAGGCACCAGTGCTTATTGAACCTTCCAAGTCTTCCTCAGTTGGTCAGCCAGATTATTCTCCAACAGTAGTTAGAGTTTAAAAATTCATGGCTCGCTTGCCTTTGTCTTGGCCTTGCTTCTGTACAAATTTCATTTTCCATGTATAATTTAATCCTGCATGTTTGATTACTACCCTCTTGAGAATTGTGTACTCTTGAATAATGGTGATGGTTTTCAGATTTCATGTCATGGTGGTGTAATATTACTCATATTGTTATGAATGTGCTTGTAACAGAAAATTAAAAATATTGTTTGAATTGCTTAAAAGATTTTCACAGCAGAAGATCACATACAAATATGATATAGCAATTTTTTGTTTCTTGTATTATTGATCAATGTTGGTTAACACAATTCTCATTTGATAAATGAAAATCTCTTTTACAAAGAATCATCTCCAAGGGGCTCAGTTCCAGCCAAAATTGAAAGGACTAGCACGTCATTGCTCTTTGAAGAGCTCACGTCCGATAATCATTCTTCTGATCTCACTTGTTCCAGCCCCGATCTCGTAGAGTTTAGCATCTCTAAGGAAACGACCGGTTGGATATTCATTCACATAGCCGTTCCCGCCTAAACATTGTATCGCCTGCAAAGCAACCTGCGTTGCTCTTTCAGCTGCACATAGTATAACTCCAGCACAATCCTGAAATTAGTAACCATAAGAGTGTATGTTTTACAATGTTCTGTTTGTTGCAAACATGAAAATATTATAGCTGTTGTATTGAAGATACAGAAAAATGGAGGCACCTTCGGGTCAACTTTTCCGTTGTCACAATCCCGAGCTACAGAATACACGTAAGACCTGAAATAAAGAATGTTACGATGCAAACTTATTCAGCAGAACAAAATTGCACCATGTCATTAAAATGTTCTACCTTGAGGACTGTAACGACGTATACATGTCCGCAACTTTTCCCTGTGACCAAAAGATTAATTGAAAATGAACTAAGATTCACATACAATACGGAGGACACGATAACGAAAAATAAAAATCATGTCACCGATGAAATGCACCTGTATAAACTGAAACTCCCCAATAGGATGACCAAACTGCTCTCGTTGTCGAGTATAAGGAAGGACAACATCGAGACATGCCTGCATAATACCAAGTGGACCACCTGATAAAACAAGCCTTTCCAGATCTAACCCCGACATCATGACATAGACTCCTGAAACAAAAAGAAAATATCTCTTAAAAAAAGTCCTTTAAAACAGATTTAGATATAAGCTCATTTTTCTTAAGTCTATCCAAACAAAGATTATAAAAGAAATTGTAAGACCTTTTCCTTCTTTCCCAAGAACATTTTCGTCTGGAACAAAGCAATTCTCGAAGACAAGCTCACATCTGCTCACAAAATTCCATTTTATCAGTAAAACCGAGTGGTTGGAATTGGAAATGGATTCAATATTGAAAGTATAACATGGAACATGCATACATACGTATCACTTCCTCGCATCCCTAGTTTATCCAGTTTCTGCGCAGTACTGAATCTGTAGTCAAACAGCAACGATTGTCAGATTTTCATTTTTCACGTCTAGTTTTCTCACTGTAATAAAACGATTTATCAATAACCACAACTCTATTGTTGTCGTGGTTCGGTAAAATTACCCAGGCATTCCCTTCTCGATGATGAATGCGGTGATTCCTTTTGACCCTGCTGTTATGTCTGTTTTTGCATAGACAACCTGTTCAATTCAACCCAATCAAATGTGTGCTATGCATTTCAGCATATGTGATACGTCTAGATCATGAAAATAACACAGATGCAACACAATTAGCAAGAAAAAGAAAGAAGCTATAAATTTAAAGATACATACTAATGTTTGAGCAACTGTCCCATTAGTACACCACATCTTGTTACCATTTAGTACATATCCCCCGTCTACGCGATCAGCCTTGCATTTCATGCTGACAACATCAGATCCAGCTACAGAGAACACAAATTCACTCGTCAAAGTTGTTGGAATATCTAAATAATTAAAATACTTCTATTCAATTTCACATATCTTACAATTGGGTTCACTCATTGCCAAAGCTCCCACGTGATCCCCGGAGATAAGCTTCAAATTTGAAGAGCAAAATATATAACAAGTCAGCCTTAACTTTAAACGGATAAACAAACAACAACAACAACAACAACCAAGCCTTATCCCACTAAGTATGGTCTGCTAAATGGATCAACTTTCGCCATAATGTTCTATCTAGGACCATGCTTCAATTCAAATCGTTAATCTTGAGATATTTCTTAATAACTTCTCTTATAGTCTTTTTAGGTCTTCCTCTACTTCTATTGTTTGACTTCTCTTCATCGGATATACTTTCCTTACCATAGAATCTACAAATCTTCTCTCTACATGTCCAAACCACCTAAATCTATTTTCCACCATCTTTTCTACAAAGGTGCTAATTCTTTCAACTTCTTTTAACTCTTTAGCTCAAACCAGGTAGCAAACCAACCCTCCCGAAAGCAGCGACTAGTTATTAATATTAAGAGCATTTTTGGCCGACAAGTCAAACATTACACATAATGGAAATAGGGCAAGACAGCAAATATTTCATGGAAAAAAGAGAATCAAACAAGATTAAACTAGGGAGAGCTAGAATCTAGAACCTTTGGCAAGTATTTCTCTTTCTGAGCATGGCTTCCATTCCTCACCTAAACAAAACATAATGTAGCAATCCTGAATACTCATTTGAAAATCGTCAAGTATACAAAGAAATAGACTTAAGTTCTGTTCAATTACCAGTTGATTGATACATAGGTTAGAATGAGCACCATAAGAAAGTCCAACGGATCCTGAAGCACGGCTAATCTCTTCCATGGCTATACAATGATACAAGTAACCTAGACCAAGCCCTCCATACTCCTCTGCAAATAAGCAGAAATATAATTGGAAAACGTTTGTCGCAACAAAATCATGACCCTATACCTATACTGATAGAAGTTCATAAAAAGAGATTACCTGGTACAGTAATCCCATGGAGATTAAATTCTCCCATACTTTTCCACAAGTTAACCTCCTAAAATTAGATCAAAACACAATCACAATGTTCAATCACACTATGAGCTATATATTGTTCATTGAAATGATTAAGAAAAACAAAAATAAATCATATCATCAAACATACCTGTGGGAAATAGTTAGTGTGGTCAATTTTGGAAGCATGAGGGGCAATATTTTCATTAGCAAATTGAGCAACACTCTCTTTAAACTGCAACAGAAACTTGAAACCATTAAAAGCATGACATGAAATGAAACAAACCAAGTTGAAGCAATCAGAGTCTAGTTTTTGGATACAGTTTAACCATAACAAAACAAATAAAGATGCAATTTAACTGACAAACATTTTGTAAGACACTATTTAACCACAGTTTAAGTGTCACGAATTTTGGGGTCATAGACTAATAGAGAATTGAATAAAACCCAAATGAAAAAGTTCAATTTTTTATCAATACAGAAAAATGGGATCAATCATATTTGACCAACCCAAATGAAAAAGTCCAAATTTTTATAAATACATCAAAATAAGATCATCATTTCTGACCAACCCAAATAAAAAAGTTCAAAATTTTTTACAGGGATCAATCATTGTTGACCAAGCTAAAAAACCCAGATAAAAAAGATTAAATTTTTACAAAATACAGAAAATGGGCCAACGATTTAGACAAAAACCTGAATCTGTGTGTCGTCAAAGAGAAAGGAAGTGGAATAAGAACAAGAAGAATTGATTCTGAAAAGAGATGAAAAAATGGAGCGTGCTGTGTTGATTCGTGTTCTAAGCATGTTTGACAAGAATAAAAAAAACCGTGTGTGTTATTGATATGATTGGTTAGTTAGCTTTAGTAGTTGTTGTTATATATCGCTATGGCAATCTTAAGATATAGTAACAATATAAGTATGAATGAATGATAACAGATAGATTAAAGAATGAGATAAGGATGGAGGTGGACAAGAATTATCAGCAATGAATCGGATAGTTGTAGGATAGTGGATCTTGTTCACGAAACCTTTCCTCTTTGAGAATGTGCACGTTCAGAAATAATTGTGTATATAGTATATAATATTAAGGGTGTGTGGTCCCATCCCATTATGGAATTTTTTTATCATAATGAACAAATTTCCACACTGCCATATAATTCAAACTAATATACAATATGCCATGTTTAAAAAAAATTGTAATAAATAATATATTTCTAATTACTAATTATTATATATTAATGATTTTCAACTAATAGTTAACAATTAATATGTTTTTAATAAAATGCATTTCTAATTCATAATTAATCTAATTAATGTTAATAATTAATTTAATTAATATTAAGAATTAATATAATTTTAATTAATAATTAATATATATTAATATGATGTTAATTATTATAAATTAGTTTTAAATAATTTAAATTGATTTATATGTATATAATCTTTTTATTATTTAAGCGCCTGAGCGAATTATTTGAATATTTTTTTATTATTTATTTGTTATGTTGTTTATTTAAGTTTGTTGTTGTTCGTTTTATGATATTTGATTTTTTGTTATTTATATTTAGTACTCAATGATTAATTGTTCAAAAAATTGAGAAGTTTGATGGCAGTCTGAAAATTATAGTACATGATAACAAAATAAAAAACTAATTTTACTTAGTTCTAACATTGGGACACCGAGTTTAGTTGTGACCAGTTTGACGACACATGGAACATTTTTTTTCAAGCTTATCAACGATGTTCATTTCCATTCTAATATGTGTGCTCACTGGGTAACATTTTTTTGTTCCTCCGCATTCTTGGATTATGGCAAATTTGATCTCCTTCACAAATGGGTCAATATTCATCGTATGACAGCACTGGAAAGCTTGTGCTGTAAACTTCAAACATGTTTGCAACCCTGTAAATGTTGGACAATAGAGCATAGGTGTCGTGGCGCATATTAGAACATGTAGCAATAACATGTGAACAAGGGACACGGTATGTCTGGAACGTTCCGCAGTCACGCCAATCGTTTATTAGGTTGACCTTATAATGTCTCATAGGCTTCCCCTCATTG